GTAATTAGATTATATAAATTTAATGTTAAGAATTTTAGATTTGTTTGGATTATGCATATTTAAATGACCAATAAGATCTTGAATTATTTTTTAGAAATGAATAGTCAATTATTTATAAATTATATTTATGTAAAATAGACATTGAAAGGATTAGTTTCAAATAATCAAAAAATAATTATATATTTTCTTTAAGCATTTTATTTCACCTCATTATATTACAGTATAAAAATTATTAACTATAAATCTTTATATTATTTTATTTCATTAGATTAATATATTTAATGAAATTATTGCTTTTTTTTTTCTTATTAGGGTTATCAGATTTTTCTCCATTACCAGCTTCTGATGCTAATGCAAAATTTTCTTAAAATGATCTTTATGTTTTAAGAGAAAAATCTATTATTAGGGGACATTATAAAGATGTAGCTTCGCAGTTCAATGGTGCTTTACTATCCTCAGCAAGAACGACTTTATTTTGGGAATCAGGAATTGATAATAGTGCTTTAAGAAATTTGCTCTATTATTACCCCGATGGTGTTAAATAAGGACATGTTGTTGCCAGACTTAGTGAATCAATAAATGTGTAATTTTTATAAGCATATGAAATAAATACTGTAAGATTTTGGATGTGGGATGGAGATATTAGATAAACAGACATTCAAGTATTCACAATAGCAAAGGATGGGCAGACTGAAAACATTATTTTTGATGGTTTTACCTAACCAACTATAATGGTTGTTAAATTTTCTGATTAATTGGTATCAGGATTGAAATTTTACAATCGAGGAGGGAATACTTTAGGCTCATAATATATGTCGATCATAAAAATATAAGCTTTCTACGCTTTTTGATTATAAATATCCATAAAAATAACAATAACTTCATCATCTGAATAACGAAAGATTTATATAGTGAATTTTTTTGGTTTAATCAGATTCAATATAAAATATTGTTTAACTTTATTAATATTTTGAATTGACATTATAATAATTCTATTAATTAAAACCATTCATAATAGTAATGTTTTATAATTTTTAGTATATTTAATCTAAATCTAAGATTAGTTTTATGAATAATAATATATACAATTTATCATCTTATAGATTTAATACAAAAACTTTAGTATAATATTTTAACAGTAAAGAATGATAAGATAAGAATCATTGAATTTGTATCTAACATTAGGAATTTTTAGGGGTTGTAGTTTATATTTTTGAAGAATTAGATTGAGTTATTCAATTATAATTTTAAATCTAGATTTTTTTTGTCTTTTAAATATTGACTGAGTATCGAACTAACTAATTTAATAAAAGAATCCATATTAGGTATATTTTATACCAATTTCATTGCAAATTTAGTTCAAGTTGATATTTTAGTGAGATATTTTTGATTAATATTAAAAATAATTTTGTAGTAAATGATATTCAAGATATCTTGAAATGATTTCGAAATTTTATTTCAATAAAGTAAAAATAATTTACCTACTGCATCTATTTTGGCAAAGAGCCCAAAAATTCTCTATAAATCTAATAAATCAATTTACAAAAATTTATGAAATTAAAATATCACTTTGAAATTAATTTCGCCTTAGAATATGGATTTTAATTCATTTATTATCTTCATAATATTAACAATGTATTTATATTACTTGAGATATCAAAGCATAAGTTTTTATAAATTTAATTAATAATTACATTCTAATTAAAAAATAGTCCTGTTTCTTCTTTATATATCTGATCTATTATTTATAACACTAATAATTTATAAAATAAAAATTCATTTTTGATGTTTTTAGTGATTTATTCATTTCCTAATGCTTTATTTGCTCTAACAGCTGGTTAAGATGGATCCAGGCCTATAGAAAACAAATTATAAATTTTCAATCCAGTTTTGGTCAGAGCAGCTCTTTGTAAAATATCTGTTGAATTTAGAATAATTTGACTAACATCATTAAATATTATCTTTTAAATTCTTTTAGTATGAATGATTTGAATATATGAGAGTAATTTCAGATTCGAAAATCGGCATATTTTGGTTAAATAAATAAATTAATAATATAAAGTAAATTTGAGACTCCTCATTTGAGAGATAAAATAAATTTTAAAGTTGAGGACAGATTGAAATTTATTTTCCTTATAATATATTGAACTTTCTGACTTCCCTATCATAGAAGAAATATAAACTTTCTTCAAACCTTCTTAAGTCTATTACCTGATTAATATTAGTTCAAATTTCAATATTTTAGAATATACTAAAGAGTTCTTCACTTTATTGTAAAAATGACTTTATTTAATGTTTACTGTTGATCTATCTTCTATGAATTTAGATATACTTGAATGATAAATAGTAAAATTCTATAAAATAATTAACATAAATTAAGAGGTGTATTATTTATTATATTTACTAATTTTAGAAAATAAAAAATCAAGAGATTAGTGATTAGAATCTTAAATTATATCAAATGTAATAATGAAATTATCTAATTTTGAATTATTTTTCAATCATTTCTCTTTATTCTTGCCTTTTGTATAAAGTTTCAAATCTTGTTTATTAATATCAATTTTTAAGGCGAAATCTATTGAATTTAAGGTATAATATCTAATACTTTTGATATCAATTAAAAAGTTATCAAAAGAGAACCTTTTAAAAATTATTCAATCTCATTGTTGTAACTTTTTAATAGTTTGTATTTATTCTAGGATTAATTATTATTTTGTAAATTCTTAACATATCATTTTACTATTTGTGTTATTAAATATATCTTTATTTATGAACTGAAAAACGAAATTATAAAACTATTAATTATAATAATTAATACCAATCCCTTTTATATATAATAATACATTAAGTAAATCTATCATAATATCTTAGATGATTTAATAAGCAAGTAGTTTTGTTAAGTTACTTATCTATAAGTAATGATTTCACAGTTGCTTTTAACCTCTTCGTTGTGCTTACCTTTGTAGAAAATTAATTTAATGTAGTATCATTAACATTTAACTTAATATTA